CTTTGTGTTTTGACAGTTGGACCAATGTAATAAACCAAAATATATTTGGTTCTGATATACAAAAGAAAAATGTCACGTGTTTATAGATTTTTGGCCAAAACAGCCAAAAAATTTTTTGGCAATTTGGCCGGCCAAAAGTGGCCAAAAACGGCCAAACGGCCAAATGCCAACACTGACTTACTAATAAATACTAAACAATAAAATACAGAAACGTGCCACATCATCTACTTTTAAATATATTCCAAAACATTTGCTAAAGAATAAAATCTTTTCTCAACTAATGACAAATGAAAGTTTTCAAAATTTGTTTAGTTTAGCACAATCTGATAAAGAGTCAAATATGTGGGCACAATTAGCTGATTTTGGTAGAAGAGGAATTTTTAATGATAATAAAACATTTAGAGATCTAGTGGAACTTATGTTACAAATAAAAAAATTAGAAGTAGAAGGTAAAAGTAAGAAAGGGCTTAGATATTCAGAACATTTACATAATTTTTTTAGTCTTCTGTCAAATAGTAGTAGAGAGTATTTAATTTTTAAAAACATGTTGGCTGGCATGGATTTACGTTCTATTCGGTAAGGAACATCTTTTAATTGTTTATCACCATTATTAAGATTATTAAAAGGTTTTTGTATTTAATATTTTTAATTATTATAGTTACTTATGTTCAAAAAATCAAGATCTTTTGACAAACCCTAATTTAACCTATGAAAATGTTGCTAGGTTTGCATGTGCTGCTAAAGCTTTAAACTGGGATGGTCCAGTTGTTGCAATGACAGATTGTACAAAAGTTCGTTTAAAATTATCATATTCACAAGAATTAGGATGTATTATGGGGTCAATTTTAAGTTTTGATCAAGCTAAAGTTGAAACTTATGATGATATCCATATTAAAATTAATGAAATCAGAGCAAACAATTCCACTGCAACTCAAGTACGATGCATTTTATTAAAAGTAAGTGTTATATTATATTATATTATATTATATTATATTATATTATATTTTATAATTATAAATATTTTCAGATTCCAGTTGGGAGAATACCTCCAGTTGTAATAGCTCTAATTCCAACTAAAAGTGATTCTACAGAAAAAATTGTAGATTATTTTAAAGAAGTAATTAAAATGTCATTACAAGCAAATATTAATTTGATTAGTATTGGCACAGATGGTGCTTTACCTGAGTATAATGCACAAATTGAATTGGTCAAGGGTTTTGGAACTAATGAATTTCTTTCATATAATAATGAGCAATATAATATTAATTTCAAAGCACCAATTTTTAATAACAAACCTATAATTCGTGTTCAAGATACTAAACATGCAAAAAAAAATGGCAGAAATAATGTATATTCTGGATCCCATTTATTAAAAATGGGAAGTGATACTGTTAGGTATGATCAAATACTAACATTAGCACATGAAGAAAACTCTGTGTTATATTTAAGAGATGTAATCAATACAGATAAACAGGATGATGGTGCAGCATATAGATTTTTCCATTCAGATTTTCTAAAACAATGTCAAAGTGAGGGAATTATAAAAGATGATCTATTGGCACTTTTTGTTTATTTGTTTGTTTTTGGTGAGTTTATTTTTTTTTTTTAATAATTTATTAAAAATTTTTAACAATTTTTTGTTTTTATTTAAAATAGGTGAACTTTTTGATGCCTATTTAAATAGGACAATATGTCACAAAACAAGAATTATCATGGTCATGAGAGCTTATTTTTTTTTGAATATGTGGAAAGAATATCTAAATAATTGTGCCAATATTTATTCACAAAAATGGTACTCATTTAATAAATCATGTATTTCTATACAAAGTTGGAAAATTTTTGGAAGTTTAGCAGAATCTATGGTTTTGTTGGTGTTAGCACATTGTAATTATTATTCAAATTATCCTTTTTTACCTTGGGAGCATGGTACTGAATCAATAGAACACTTGTTTGGTCTTGCATGGCAAATCATTTCAGATTTTTCTTATTATGAATTCTATAAGATATTACAAAAAATTACACACCATGATAAAATTTTATGTCAAGAGAATTTAACACAAACAAGTGAAAAATCTTCAGCTGAAGGTAATATATTAACTTAATTTCTTTATGTTACTTTTAAAAATTAATAATCAATTTTATGCTATACTTATCATATATATCATATATAGGCTATATTTTTGATATTGATGGGTCAACTTTATCAAATAATGATATTGAAATACTACGCCAGTGGCCAACGGATAATGAAATAGATGATGCTGTTAGGATAGCTTATGAAAATGCTGTATCATTTACAAAATTATTAAAAATGAATCGTATATCTTCTTCCTCCATTTCAGACCCAATCATTAATGATTGTGAAGATGAAATAGAATCAAATATTAATGATGAATATTGTGCCACAATTGAAGAGGCTGCTGTGGAAACAATGAGATTATGTAAATTAAATGATTTTTCTGTTGACAATAACAATGATGAATCTGTAAATGACTCAAATAATTTAGTTCATTCAGTGGAAATTCAATACATTTTGAACAATGAACCTTCAACTGATACATATTTTGTACTTGAAAAAGAACCTGAAGAAGAT